TGGTACCACTCCCACGTTCAGGGCCAGTATCCCGACGGCTTGCGAGGACCACTCCTCATCCGCGACCCGGATCATCCATATCGCGGACAGTATGACGAAGAGTTGCTGCTGTCCGTCTCGGACTGGTACCATGACGAGATGGCACTCCTGGTCCCCAAGTACCTGCATGGCGGGGGCATGATGTCGCAGGAACCTGTGCCGGACGCCAACTTGCTGAACGATACACAGAACCTCCATATCCCCGTCATACCTGAACGGACGTACTTGGTTCGTCTGGTCAACATGGCCGCGTTCGCGGGTCAGTACTTCTGGATTGAAGATCACTCGATCAAGATCATCGAGGTGGACGGCGTCTACACTAAGCCCGCTGAAACTGCCATGATATACCTCTCGTCTGGGCAGCGCTGCAGCTTCCTCGTCACCACCCAGGCTGAAACGCACAGGAATTATCCCATGGTGGCTTCCATGGATCCCGTATGCCCATTCATCACTCTCTCTTGCTCGGGTTTCGACTAACAAATCTTTCGCAGACCTTGTCCAAGATACGTAGTAGCGCAAGCCAGAACGTGACAGGATGGCTGGTCTATGCGCCCGATCAGCCACTGCCACAGCCTCAGGTCATTGACTCTTTTGATCCCTTTGATGATGTGACGTTGGAACCATACGATGAAATGTCCTTGCTTCCTCGACCAGACCAGAGCATCGTCCTGAGCCTGGGAATGTCACATGCTGGAGGCATCAAGTAAGCGCCGCCCGTTCTTCACTGCTCGGGTCTATCTATGCTCGGACAAGTAGCTCACTCTGTGTCCAGATGGTTCTTCAACAAGACACGATACGCAGCCCCAGAGATTCCGTCCCTTTACACAGCTTTGTCCAGTGGCCCATCCGCAACAAACGACTCCATATATGGCTCCACAACCAACCCTTTTGTCCTGCAGCACAACTCGGTCGTGGAGATCATCCTCTACAACCACCATATGGTCCGCCATCCTTTCCATCTGCATGGCCACAATTTCCAAGCCGTCTACCGTTCTGCCCCAAAGGCCGGCAGCTTTTTCACCAGTGGTCTCGTGGAGGAAGACTATCCGCGGACTCCGATCAGGCGAGACACCCTCTTGCTGGAGCCCGGAGGCTTCATGGTCTTACGATTCAGAGCCGACAACCCTGGCGTCTGGCTTTTCCACTGCCACATGGAATGGCACGTAGAAACAGGTCTGGTCGCGACATTGATCGAGGCGCCGCTAGAGCTGCAGCTGCAGCATAGGGATCGCCCGTTACCCGCGATCTCATGCAGCTCTCTAGAGAGCGACCAAAAAGAGCAGCAGGCGGGTGTGCCTGAAGAGGAACAACACGAGCCTACTCCCGAATCCCCAGAATCGACAAAGGCTACCAGAAGGTGAGATGGGCCAACCCACTCCTAACTCCTTTTGAGCTTTTCATATGATCTACTTCCAACCGTTTCCCAGGATGGAATCGCTCGCTAACATTCTCCTCAATAGCTCCATGATCTCCACGGCCGTATTGATGATGGTTGTCTTCATTGTTGCGATGGCCGGCCTCACTTTCACCGTCAAGCTTTGCCGCAGGAAAAGGGGTACTTCGCCAATCCAGCCAAATTCCTCAGCGATGCCCGACGTCGAACAAGAACGTCTCCTCGAAAGTTCCTCGAGCTGGGAGAATATGCATGTCTTTGAAGAGGGCGCGGTCGTCAACTCTGCGAAGTCGTCCCTGGATGGAAACCAGACGGATGGTCATGGTGGTGGCAGACAGAGCCGTTGAAGTACCTCAATCCACCTCTTAGCTGAGGGGTTTCTTGCAACATATACACGTTGCTTGTATGTACAAAAATAGGGTTTCGGCCTGTATTTTTATATGTATATTCGACCAGTAAATAGATAGATAGATGGTCGTTTCTCTTCCCACGCGTCAAGAACATATCTACCGCGAGTTCTTGTTCTGCCTCAAGTCACCAAAAGCGGCAGTTGATAAAACACCAAAGGGGGGGGAGCCAATGGATAGAGCGGCGCCACACTCATCTCCTGACAATATTTTAGCCGCTCGCCCGCCAGATCAGGATCTTATCATGATAAGATGCAACTGCATTGTCTCCCAATCATTGTTCCTCCTCTCTGTGCAACCTGTTGAGACCTATGGACGACGCTGCATCACCTGAAGAATGCCTCGACATCCTCCGCCTCTCCTTGAAATCTTCTGACAGTCTTGTCGCACTTCTAGCAGAGTCTAGCGGGGTACCGTCACCGGACCACCTCCGCAAGATCATCGCCGCCATCCTCTGGCATCGCAAGTTCATCGTCACATATTATTTATGGATTGTCGGTGCAATCGTTATTGTGGGTGGCGTCCACTGTGGGAGGGCAGCGCACCAACGTAAGAGATGGGACAAGAATGATCAGAGACATATCAACTATGCGGGTGTCGCACCCAACCCCTCACCGTCATCAAGCGGTACATCGACTGGGACAATTACGCCCTCGCAGAAAGAAGATTGTTTGGACAATGGAGAGACGACACCCTTGCTGTCACGGTCATATCCGACTTCTCGAAGACGGCCACCCCTTGGGGATCGACTGAAGTCCCTCTTGATGTTCCAGCCACGACCCATCTCAGCACTAACAGCTCCCTCGAACGTCCTCCCGAACAATGCCATCACCCTCGCTATCCTCTTTTTTCTCGCTGTCAACCTTTTCTACCTCTTCTACCGTGCCCCGTTGTCATTGCCATGGATCTTTATTCTCGCCGATCGGGCTGGTCTGCTCTTCCTTGTAAATCTTCCAGTCCTCTACTTCCTCGCCGCCAAAAACAACCAGCCGCTCAAATGCCTGACAGGACATTCCTACGAAGGACTCAACATCTTCCACCGTCGTCTTGGAGAGTGGATGACTTGCTTCGCTGTCATTCATATGTTTGGGATGCTTGCTGTCTGGTACACCATCCTCCGTTCTCTAGGCTGGAACCTACTCCGTTATATGACTAGCAGAGTCGTTTTTCTCGGTTTCTGTGCAGTGATTTCGTACTATCTCATCTACCTTACGAGCATCGGTTGGTTCCGCCGTCTTTACTATGAATCGTTTCTGGTGGTACACGTCATATTCCAGTTCGCCGCTCTGGTATTCCTTTTCTTCCACTATCCTACGGCTCAGCCATACGTCTGCGCGGCCTTTGCAGTCTGGGCCGTCGACAGGCTCCTCTGGCGCATGACGATATCATCTCGAAAGTTTATTGCAACTCTGGAGGTCGCTCCAGATGGGGACACTGTTCTGGTCCACTGCAACATTCCATTGTCCCGCCAAAATCTTCTTCTGGGGGTACAAACAAACCTCTACCGCGGGTGGTCTCCCGGCCAGCACGTATTTCTCACCATCCCCTCCATGGGTTTCAAATACCGCTTTCAGGCGCACCCATTCACGATAGCTTCACCGGCTCCAGCAGGAAGTTTGGCGTCTGGAGGATCGTGGCCTCTTCAGCTCACGATCCGCGCAATCGACGGCTTTTCTCTCGACCTTCTGCGCCACGCCCGCCACCATCAACATTGTGAAGTCGTTCTTGACGGTCCTTATGGCAGTACCTCAGCGCTGCATGCAGCACAGTCAGCAGATCGCGTCTGCTTCGTCGCAGGTGGCAGCGGTATCGCAGTCACCTATCCGCTTTCCTGGGCAGTCCGTGTCCGACAGGACAGCAGCGCAGATGCAGGACTCTTCCTGAGCACAAGGACCACATATGAGAATGGTGTGAAGACCATGCCATCCACTGCTGCAGAATCTGCTCCAGCCGACGGAGATCCCGACTACGCACACTTCTGGGTAAGGCAAGAGGTGCTGCATGGAAAGTGGATCTGTATGGTCCCGCGAGCGAGTGCGGTCAAGTCACTCCACGATGACGAAGATGTCCAAGACTCAGCCACCCGTCCTGTTGGACCAGAGCAAGGGGATGACGAAGCCGGGAGTTTAGTAACGCGGGCATTCGACACGAGATCTCCGGGCTGCCAACACGTTCGACCAGATATGCAAAGCGAGATCTACAGCTGGATCACGTCCGTCTCCTCGTCCTCTCTAGCAAACGCTGCTGGAAAACCTCTTTATCCTTCATCGTCTTCCTCTTCCTCCTCTTCTTCTACGATACTAGAGGACTGCTCTCCAGATCCACTCCCGTCTTCTTCTTCTTCCTCTTCATCACAATCGGCGCTACAAACCCCCAAACTGAACTTTAAAGTCACGAACGAATCTATTCCTTCTCAAGCAGACAAGCAGAGCACCGCAGACAGGACCAGGGAGAAGATCTGCATCATCGTCTCCGGCCCAGACGGCCTCGTGCGCGACGTGCGAAACATCGCAGCCGACCTTGTCCGCCAGGGAGGCTGGGACATTGATGTCTGGGCCGAGAAATTCGGTTGGTAGACGCAGCGACCGCGACCGTGCGCGTCGAGATTACGCCATGAAACCTAAACTTGAATGGAAACTGAACGGGGAAGAAGAAGTTACCTATTAGAATCTAGAGATACAGAATTATAGATGTATGTAAATGTAGGTGGACGGGTGCGGAAAGAAAGAAAGAAAGAGAAATCGCAGAGTATTCTTGTCATGTCTTGCTTAGATTTCGGCACCGAACCGGCCATCATGTCTACTGTTCCTCTTGTATAGGATAGATAAATGTCATATGGAATATGCACATGGCCTATGTCTGTTTTGAATTGCTCATACAGCCGCCCTGTGCCATGCATTCCCATAAAGGGAAGTAGACAAGATGAAAGAGCAAAAACCAAAATCAAAAGGGAATGGTGAGAGAAAACCCCCTTGGGCCCCCCTTCCGCTTCATGAATCGTTGTATTGCCTTCTTCGTGCTGTTACGTCCCTTGTTGTTTTCTGCTTCTGGTCCTTGACAGTACGCCCGCTAGAGCGCCAAAGTGCAAACAAACGTGCATTCATCCCCAAAATGTGGAACCACATGTGGCTGCGGTCATTCGGTTCCGCCTTTTGCCTCTTTCATCGCGAGTGCTGATGATCCATGCCCGTACTACTTGTAGGTGCATAGTGTCTGTTCATCATGTCCCCCAGATTAGCGGCTGCATGCATGTCCACATCGAACGAGACCCCTGCTGGGTCCGTCCCACTGCCGACCCCTGTTCCTGCGACCCCTCCAGGAATTTGGCTGCTCGGGTCGTCAGGCAGACCGAATCCGCCAAAATATTCATCCGCCTGGGGGATTCCCGCCCAGTGGTGCATGGAGCTGTAATCCCAGCCGTTCATCATCGGGGTCCCGCCAATGGGACTGTCCCAGCTTGTACTCCAATTCAGCGTGTCAAACATGTTGTCCATGAACAGTTCTTGAGTGGCCGTGTTGAGCTCGTCCGGATTACCGTAGGTGTTGGCAAATGAGACATCAATGTAGGTGGGGCGGAAAGACGACGACGCCGCCGACGCCGACATTGTCGTTAACTGTGCGTGTTGTGCAGCTGGCGTGGTCGAGGACGTTGGTGTCTCGATGTTGTTTGGCAGATATGTCTCTTGGTACTCTTGGAGGGCGGCAGAATGCCGTTTGCTGGCGTCATATAGCCGGATGACGACCTCCAACGACCGGCGAGCGGTAGAGGACCAGGCCTGCAGTTCCTTCAGGACTTGCACAGCGACTTCAACTTGATGGCGGCTGCTATCCACTACATCGACATCGTGAGGATCCGAATAGAGCGAGAGAAGTGGAACCATCACAGCTTGATAAAGAAGCCACGTGGCGTTCCAACCAGACATCTGACACTCCTTTTGACCTCGCCAGGTGGAAGCAATGTCATCGATGAGATCTGCACATACAGCACGACAAAGCTCAATCGCTGCTTGTCTTTCTGGAGAGAGGCTCTCCCATGCGATCTTGCGCATGGCATACCAGAGCAGAGCAGGGCGGTGGAGAATAATTCGATTCGACAAGTAGCGCCATCTCATCACATTCTTGACGACAGTAACGCCGGCAGGCTCGTTGGGGGTCGCACGTGAAGAGTCCGCCTGCACGGATGAATGCTTGTACCACTCAAGATAAAGGGCGTCCAGAGGACAGCGTTCATACTCTTCCAAGAGAGGAGAAACAGCCAGGGCATCTTCCATTCTTGTGCTAATGATGCAGAAGCGAACGTTCTCCTGCACCAGAGCTAGCATGGCCATAGACTGACCTATGGGCTCTTGGGGCGGCTTCGCTGTTATGGCGTGGCTCATTCGGCCCATGCTCGGTCTTCCCAGAGTGTTGCCGGCCCAGGCGTCTAAAATGAACGTACACCACCATATCCTGCGACGCATCTCGATCGAGAAGGATGCCTTGTGGACCTTTGCGGGCCCAACCCCCTCCGTGTAGTCTCGATGAAGTCCCAGTGTGGTAGCAACTCTCAAGGTGGCGCCCATCAAAGCATTTGCCTGGTTGGGTATCTGGACGTAATGAAGATAGAAGCCGCTCAAAATGGCAAGGGCTTGAACAGTCTCGAGATGGGCAGAATCCAAGGTGTCCAAGTTGAGATATTGCTTCGCCCGGTTAAAGTAGACGTGGTGACCTGCGTCCTCCGACGTCCCTGCTGCCACACTGCCCATGGCCAGGACACTGTTTAAGAGTAGGAGCCATCGAGAATCAGTTCTTTGTGCCGTCATGTATGTGTCCCGAAAGACTTGCTCCTCGATCAAGGGTATGAAGGGGTGGACATAGCTGAAGTATGCATTGATCAAGGGGATTTCGTCCCAGGCAGATGTCGACGTGGCGTCGTTTCTTGTCTGACCAGGATCCATTCTCGGATTCTCTGGTGTCGGTGATGCTTCCCGGGTGGGAACCGCACTCCTCTCGGGAGTTTTGGTCAGGCAGTCTGGATCGAGCCAAGTGATGACTCTCAGCACCGCCATCACGGAAGATATTCCAAGATATGATGAGTTTTGGTTGACTGACAGGGACAGCATGTTGACGTCGTCCGTGATGCCTTTCAGGGCCTGAGTTTTGCGGTCAGAAAATCCATCATTGCTGTCCTCTGGCGTTGGTTGCAGCTTTTCGAGGTTGGCAGCATCAGGATTCACAGGAGGCGGCTTCTCCTCCACGCTGGGTGTTCGAGGTGAAGGGGGATGGAATGGACTGCTCTTCTGGATGAGCTCTACGAGTCTTTCACGAGGGAGCTCTTTCAGCTGGTCTGGGTGCACATTTGGAAAGAGCTTTTGTAGGATACCTCGATATTCCTGTAGCGTTTGAGAGATCTTCTCAACAGACCTGTAGATGAAATGTCAGATATTGGCAAAATAGGTGCGAGAAGTCACTCTGCTCACCGCCTGGAGGGCATCTGCCGTTGTCTAGGCTCGGTGTAATGACAAGACGCAGCCTTCCGGTACCATTGACAGGTTTCGCATGGATGCTCTCCACTGCACCTGATCTTGCGACGTCGGCAGGGCTCACAAGCCCTCACGGTAGAGGTCCTGCGCTTTGCGGCCGAGCTTGCATTTTGGTCGGTCTGCTCTGGGCTGTGATATTGCGCGGTCTCAAATGTATGAAACATCCTGAAAGGGACACCAGAAATCTGGAAATCCGGCTAGGGAATGACACAACAGCAGCCCACCGAGCACTATGGACTTCTAATATAGATGGGCCTGGCCGAAAGCGCGCACGGGACCAGACGTCACGACAGCGCTGAGACCTTGCAACCTGGGGAGCTGCTCAGAGTGCCAGGACTTGAGTGTATGAGAACGGAGTTTCTCTGAGAATCTCCCAGGTGGGCGCGATGATACTCTGAATGACCTTGAGGCCGAGGTAGTCAGGGATCGACAGAACACCTACTCATAAGGAGATTGGTGGAGCGTGGTCGATTAGGCAGAGAATGGCAAGGGAGGTGCAGAACTTGCAGACGCGTGCAGAGCGCCTCCTTTATCACTTTCACTGGACTTCTGGTGTACAGAAACAATGAGTTTGTCCGAGATCAATGCCACGAGGAGAAGAAAACCGGCGGCATAATATGCTGCTGGGTCATACTGCCTGAACTCGCGCCACTGGCCATATGGAAGAATCCGGGGAAACTGTGGGAATAACAAGGGCAATCTTGACCGGGGAAATGGTTCAGTTCAACCACATGCATGACGGGCTAAGATACCTGGTTGGTGCTAGACGTCGCGCCAGGAGGTTCAAAGAGTGGTGTGCTTGTTCCCTGGCGAGAGTAGAGGGAGAAGAATGGACCACGGGAATGATCGCAGGACTAGGGTCTCGAGCAGGGGTGTTTGGTTTGGGAGGCCCTGGGCGTTATGTAACCAGGGTCGACAAGACGGCCATGGAAGGGCTCCAGAAGGAAAAGAAGAAGTAGGACCAGAATTGGCTCGTTCAGGTGCATGCAGTAGTGAGTTCGATTAGGATGGACACGAGCTAAGGAAAAAAGCTACTGTAGGTAGGAGGAATGGAGGGTCGAAGTTGAGCGATTTGACTGGCCAACGAGGTGAATTTGTCACCGTTTGTCCGACCTGTCGCGCAGGCAACGTAGAACAGGGAGAGGATAAAGGGCGAGTAAAGGCAGTCCTATGTAACAGTCAGCTCTGGATGTTGTTCGAAACGGCCAGTGAAAAGGTTTCGGTGAGGTCGATGGAAGATAGGAGGGGGTGGTGAAGGGGGGTAGCAAAGTAGGTAGTACGTGTGGGTGGTAATTTGATGAGTGATAAAGTGGGAATAGGCGGTACTGGTGGTACATACATGCTACTGTACATTATTGTCCGTAAGTGCGTAATGTCGGAAAAGAGAAGGCATTGACTAGTAGGAGGTGGTATTCGTCTGAGGAATCCTTGATGGATGGATGGATGATGCTGATGATGGATCTGTGGACCAGTCACTCCCTGCGCTCTCACTCACGCACTCAGTGCCTGTGGGTGCCTGCGCCCGCAGATTGTGGGGAGCTTCGTGGTTTGGCCTTGGCCCCTGACCGCCTCCACATCCTCTTCCCTCGAACATCCACATCGCTATCGCCCATCACCATCACCATTGCCAGAGGCTTCAACGCCATTCTCATTGCCATCTCCACCTCCACCATGTGCACCTGCTTCCCTCGTATCAGTCCCCTCTGTCAAGTACCATATGCTGTCCCGCTATCCACATGGCTTGCTGATTGATGAAACAACTACGACAGACACCTCATATTCTTCCAGCAGACCTGACCACACCACCCTCATTCAAGGTGTCATCTCTCGCCCTCCCAAATCTCGTCTAGCATGAAGGATAACGGCCCCTAACCACACAAACCAGCCTCGCCGAGCCCGTGAATCACCTATTTAGCCGCCATTGGGACTATAACAAGAGCTTCCATGCGTCCGTTTAGCTTTAACCGGCGGGGCCTTTTTTTGGTGCTACGATACCCAATCTGCCGAATATCTTCCAACGGCTCCATTGCGCAGAAATGCCACCACTACCTCTTCTAGAATCATATCAATTGGCATCCAATGGGCTTTTCTTTTTGCCTTGTGCGACAAGCAATCGGCAGGCTACGGGAGTCCCTGAAAGATGGTTGGATGCACAAACCCGGCTGAGCCATCCTCTAGGGATCAGTCTATTTGAAGAGAGAGGAAAGTGAGCCTGACGAATCGCCCAGGTACCCCGTATACGCGGGAGATTTCTCTATCCCGACCCGACTCAAGAAGCCATGTAACATCGTCAACATTACATAAGACTGGCCTCTTCCATGCCGACATTCTACCGGTCAAAGAGAGAACTTTTGGGTTGCTGTTGTGTCTTGTCTGCTTGTCCCTCTACCCAGCCTTCCTCGTCTTCCTGGAAAAGAAGAGCGAAGGTCATACCATCAGGCTGACTGTTCGTCTCAGCAAGGTGAACTTCACCACATCTCGAAATCAACTTCTCCTCGGGCCGAATGAGATCAGTTAGCCCTCTGGCTGCTTTCCATTTGTCAAGTGAATATGCAACATCCCTCTTGGGCATCTCTTGCGTGCCCTGGTCTGGTCTCATGCGTCGTAACCTCGGCTTCCAGGGGCCATGACTGCACCTGTCTTACTGCTCCCCAGCCCCCAAATATGTCCAGTTGAGTGGTGGTTCTCCAGCCTTGAGCCCTCGCACTCGGATAATCTGCTGGTCATTAGGCACCAAGTCAATAGCGCTGTCGCTTAGATGACACCCTTCGCGTTCCTCAAACACAAGACACTTGACCGGCCTGTCTGCAGAAACATGCATCTCGTCACCCACCACCTCGACCTTGACGTTTCGCTCGGGAAACTGGAGATATTTTAGAGGCTGCGGCCAATCAGTGTCACGAGCAACCAATGTGCCGTCGACCCATATCCGGGCGGCCAGGACATGGGGCTCCTCCTGGAAATTGTCGACCTGCCCCTTGAGAACGTCGGTAGTTGTGTTGGCTTTGACCTTGATTCCTTTCTTCACAATCTTGTCCTTGATCTCCAGGCCTGTGCGGACGGACACGAACCTGACCTCCACATCCGCAGTGATGTCGGTCAGCTTCGCACTGACGACCCACAACTCCCAATCCTGCGTCCGGGGTTCGCGGGCGTGTGTCACACTCCAGTCGTGGTGAGATCGACGAATTCCGACCGCCACCGGGGCTAGAACGCGCGCCATGGCATAATACGCCGGTTTTCTCCTTAGGTAGTAGTCGACAATCGACCAACTAGTCACCGGCCAGCAATCGTTGAGTTGCCACACCAGGGCTCCTCCACAGTGTCGGCCGTCTCCCCATTGTTTCCGCCAGCCGCGGTAGCCAAACATCAGAGCTTCGCATTGGATCAGCTGGGTGAGGTGGATGTACGCCTCGAGGTCGGTCGCGGTCCTCACATTCTCCACTAGGTACGTGGCAATTCGCCTTTCGTGGCCATCGGCTTTGTTGTGGAAATCTAGTACATGACTTTGCGGATAGAGATCCTCGTCCTTCTCAACAAACGACTTGATGGTCGCAATGTGCGGGAATGCCTCCATGCCGAACTCGGAATTGAAACGTCCTCCCAACGAGTCGAAGATTTGGTACTTCTCCTGCGTCCCATGCCAGACATTCCACTGATGCATATCCCCGACCGTTGGGTCCGAGCTGATCTTGCCGTCCCCCCATGGTGATCCCGGATGATATGGAATCCAGGGCGCCTCCGCCGCAGAAACTCTCGGCAGTAGTGACTCGTAGATATAGCGTGCTGGGAAATCCGATTTGAGCCAGTGTTCCTCGTTCTTGTCGTCATAGTCGTAGGTCAAATGGGCAGACTCTTGCACTTGGTAGTCTTCGTTGTTCCCGGCGAAAATCACCACGCATGGGTGATGGCGGATTCGTCGAACATTGGCCACGGCCTCGGCCTCGATCGACTTGAGTATTTCCGGGAAGCAGGGATAGTTGCCGCAGCCAAACATGAAATCCTGCCACACCATGATCCCCAACTCGTCGCAGGCGTCGTAGAAGGCGTCGTCTTCGTAAATCCCGCCTCCCCAGACCCTAGGCCACACCCGTTAGCTTCAAATTCCACCAAAGCACGACAAAATTAAGTAGCGGTCGGATGGTTTCGGGGTGGATGAAGTTTTGTTCTGTATTACCTGATCATTTTCTGGTTCGCGGGCACCATCAGCTCGATCCATGCTCGATATTTCTCGGGCGTGACGTTTGTCAAGAAGCTATCGGTGGGAATCCAACATGAGCCACCGCAGAAGATGTCGACATCGTTGACCCGGAAATAAAACGACTTTCCATGAGAGTCTGGCTCCTGGACGAGTTCAACCTTGCGTAGACCAATACGTCGAGACTCACGGTGTAACACCATCTCGTCCGTCGTCGAAATCGTGACACTCACAGTGTACAGGTGCTGTTGCCCATACCCGTTGGGCATCCATAACTGCGGATCGGACACTTTAAGGTGGGCAGTGGCCCTCTTCCCCGACACGAGGTTTGCCTGGCTTGACAGAATCTTGGTATCTCCCAGACTGACGGCGAAGTCAACTTTGACATGGCCATGCTGGTCCTCGAGTCCTTCAATCTCGGCCGAGGCCTGGATTGTGGCGAGCTTATGGTCGTCTGAGATGGTGATGTCGGTCCGCAGATCGGCTATCCTGATGGAATACATCTCCAGACGAACAGGTCTCCAAATGCCAGCACACATCAGGAGAGGCCCCCAGTCCCACCCCCAGTGGTACTGTGCTTTCCTCACGGCCAGACGTGCAGAGTCACCATTAAAACAAATGAATTTATGCTCCGGATGCTGATCTTTGATTTCCCTGGCCTTCAGGAAGGCGGGTTCGAATTCGATCTCCAAGCTGTGATCCGATGTGGATTGAATGAGGTCTGTGACGTCGACTCGGTGTGGCAGGAACATGTTGTCGCTTTTCAGGATGGTTTTGCCGTCTAGCTTGACATGCGCAAACGTGTCGAGACCATCAAAGGCCAGTACGGCTTGGGAGCCTCGCGGCACCGAAGGGCTGACGAGCCTGGTCCGGTAGGTCCATGATTTCAACCCTACCCACTCTGCCTTGATCTCGTTGAATCCGACAAAGGGATCATCCAGTCTGGTGGGTGTCTACATCAGCTTTGGCCGGTTGTCGGGGGGATGCCACATTACACACTTCTTGTTGTCGATCAAATCCTGGTGCACGGTGGAAGGGACCTTCTTGACTGGATACCAGGCATTCTCACCAACATCATCACTCTGTTTAAACGACCACCCCAGGGATAAGTCCATGACCTCCATCGGCACCAACATGTCGTCGACCCCGGACATGTCCCCCATGGGCTTCTAAGAACCGTATCGTTACCTTGAAAGAAGAGAAGAAGAAAAAAGAGAAACTACACAAGAAGAAGCAATAAGGCAGGAAGTTATCTGCAACCAGAAAGACTTCTAGAATTCTTTAAAAGAGAGAAGCTCTGGCACAGGAATTGGAGAACTGAAAAGGTTTCAACCGCCACGCAACACGGCGTACGACCTCGTAGGGATCAAAGAAAAGAATCCACTTCACCCACTGGATCTGACAACGGAGGCAATGCCGCGACGCGAGAATCTCTGTCACAGAGCAATGCTAAAGCGCAGATGAGCAACGCATGACCCAGTCTACCATCAATTACCCGCATTGAGCGAGGCGGAAGGCATCGAAAGTGGCATGGAGACGTGGTGGGAGGGATTATGACGGTATAGCGAGGTTAACCGAGAGTCCAATCGGAGAATTTATACCGGAGGGGCTAGTACATAGTTGCACATCGGAGGGAGAGACCTCCGCGTCGAAGAGGGAAAAGCGTCAGTCTAGTGTATCGAGCACTGCGGCAGCAAGTCACTCCTTCCCGCATTGCTTTGCAGCACTGGAACATCCTTGCTTGTGGCAGCGGAGATCTCAGCCCTTTTCGCTTCTTTCACTCTATGGAATCAGCAGTACGATGAATGCTTACTTGCTTGTCTGTTCGACTTGCAGTTTTGAACGCAGCATCACAACGGCTGACCCCTGACATGCGTGCGCGAAAGGGCGCATGTGCTGGATGTGCGAAGTCATCCCAACCAATAATGCCGCCTGCCATCCCAGAGAAACCCCCATTTCCTCCTTCTGCGCAGGAACTATCTCACCGACCTCCGATCTGATACGTATACGGGCTCGAAACATGATCTCTATAACACCAGAAGAAGGTGCGCTGCGCCCTCCGCAGACAAGAGCTGGATGAGACACATGAGAGTGCATGTACTGTGGTGATAGAAATGACGTCTTAATAGTGATAGTGCATTGGACACTGGGTAACCCATAACAACTACCAACCCCATGTGCCAGGGCCTCCTTTCATGGGGCCCTCGAGTTCACTGGTCACCCATCCACCATAATAGTCGCCTATAAAAGAGGGGGATTAGGTTCGGCCGCCACGTAGTGTCAGTCAGTTGCTCACCTTCTTGGGGAGCGACCTTCTCATCGTCGACGAAGCATTCCCACGGCACGCCGCTGGCATAAAAGGACAAATATCCCTTGATGCTTGTGAAAGCCGGGGTTGGCGACTCATAACTCCAGATCTTGTTCGTAACCGTCTGGCCTGTCGACTTGTCCGTCAAGTCCCAATATGTGGCTCGGCCTTTCCATTCGCAGAGCGATGCCTTCTCGGGGACCTGGGTGAGCTTGAAGGAGTCCGAGACGGAGTTTCGGGGAAGATAATAGGCTGCACCAGTAGATCATTCTTTGTCAATTGTGATTTGGCTGGACAGGGATGTATTCCCCGTAGATGCCTAATACTTCCAGAGCAAGACTGGACTCACTTGGAGGATGTGTAGTTTCCAAGACCCAGTACGCCGATTTGGTGTCGGCCAGGGTCTGTCCGTTCCATCTCAGCACCAAGTGCCTTGGTGTTTTCTCCAGCAAGGGAGGGCGTGGGAAATTCTGGACGTTCAACTTGATTTTCGCAGCCATTGAAAGAGACGTCCTCGGTAGACAACAAGATGGTGACTTAAATTCTGGGGGCTGAGCTTGACCATGTTCTCTGGAGGTTCGATGACGATATAAAAGTATGACTGCCTCGTTTCGGGCCTAGATGTATTATGTGCTGTAAGGCGACCCGATCGGGTTTGCTGGGACGATCAGCGATCATACAGATCAGATCTCGTGGCGCAGGGCAGCATCAAGCCCCTTGTACAGTACATGCTTCACACAGCTTTCGCGTCAAGCATCAACAAAGATGAATAGGCGATGAGGTCTCTCAAGCTGTTTGATGGTCGACATGCTTCTCCTCAGGTTTGGCATCATGAGGCGCATCGGGTATACAAGTGCATGTGGTGATGTTTGCAGGGGAATCAAGACCAGTGTTGTCCCACCTATTGACCCTCCCCTGCAGGTCACCGTAAAGGCCACCAGGCCATCTCATCTTTTTTTTCCAACCTCGGATTGTCTTCTCCCTTCACTTCAACTCTCTTACCACCGAATCACGGGTAGCTATCCATGCCCAAAGACCTTTTACCACTTCCGTCGCACCTCAAGCCATTCCAGGCACCCCCTTTTACCGAAGTCGCCGAGCAAGTGTTTATTTGTGTTCAGTCCACACGATGCCCCGCGCGAATACGAAGGGTGAGAGTGACCAATTTGCCCCTACGTGCCCTCCCACCAACAACTCCCCGCGCCCAATAACTAAGCGAGAAGCCCTACCCAGCGCCTAGGAGCAAAGCAAAAAGTCTATGACGCGGCTCGGATACACGCAAACAATCATGGCAAGAACCCGTCTGCATCGCCGTCTCTGGTGGACAATCGGTGTCTTCGGGGGATTGCTTGAGACTTGAGATCCTTCTCCTTTCCTGACGGGGACCTCGATCGTCCTAGCTGTCTATCCTTCTGAATCATGATGTGAGCTATGGGGACCAATATCCCTTGCCCCAAAAAATTCATCAACAAAGGTGGGTTTCGACGGCGTCCTCGGGGACTGGAAGGCTATTTTCCACCACTGACCAAAATGCTCCAAAATTGGGGGGAATTGGAAAGCTAAACTGACCTCGTGGCGAGCTGCTGGGTCCTGCTTTAGCGTGAGCCTAGCAGCATCAATGTCGGGCTCTATTGCTACTCTCGGGCTCCAAGCCTCGCCCTGGCAAGCCACGCAGAGAGAAAAAAAAGCATTTCCAGATATCTCGAATAACATGTCTCTAAATTCCAACGACTACTCGTATTCCCTGGCTTCCCAGCAAGAGTTCAATCGTCCCAATTCCTAGCACACAGACAGCCAGAGACGATCAGCCATGTCTTCCCTTTTGATGAGCGCTGCAAGTGGCGGCATCTTCGGTGCCGCTTTGGCTGCCTCGGGAGTATATTCGCCCTCTGTCATCATCACACAACTCCAGCTGGGCAATTTCCATATGATGAAGAGCTTCATCGCTGCCAGCGCTTGCAGTGCGTTGATTGTTTACTGGGCGAATCGAGCAAAGTACGCCAAACTCTCGCCTCGGTCGGACTCGACGTACGGCTGGTTCATGAAATACGATGCAAACCTCATTGGCGGACTTTTGCACGGTATCGGTATGGCCTTGACCGGCGCCTGTCCGGGCACTGTCCTTGTGCAGCTGGCGATGGGTGTGAAATCTGCACCGGCCGTTGCCGCTGGCTGTATCTTGGGAGCGGTGGCCTTTGTCAAGTCGGCGCAGCATATCAAACGAACGACACCTGCGAGCGCGTCGGCCGGTCCTGCTCCGCACTCTGTGCAGGAGAAGCTCGGCCTGTCCACCAACTCGATGATCCTCCTGTATGAGACACTGTGTCTCGTCATGATCGGTGCTGCAACGTACCTGGGACCTACTAGGGATTACTGGCTCAACCCTATCATCGGTGGCCTTCTCATCGGCGTGGCGCAAGCGACCTCGGTCCTGTTTACTCGGAAGACCCTGGGTGTATCGGGTGCCTATGAAGATATTGGAAAGTATATCTGGAGTGTCGTGGACGGGACCGCAGGGCCTGGCTTGTCAAACATCGTCTTCGCCAGCGGTGTCATCGGCGGCGCAAAAATCATTTCGCGATTCATACCGGCTGTGTCTGAGGCGGGAGGGCCAGTCATCAACCCCCTTGCCGCCTTTATTGGGGGGTTTACCATGATATTCGGCGCGAGAATGGCCGGGGGATGTGCCAGTGGACATGGCATCTCGGGGATGGCCACCATGGGCTTGAGCAGCTACATCACAGTGGCTGGTATGTTTGGAGGCGGCATTGTCTGGACTCTGCTCTTTCGATAGGTCCTGGCCTTGAACATTCCAGGGCAGTGACAAACGACCACACAGGAAACATCCATGTGGGGAACTCCACTGCCTTGTGACCCATGTTGTGTGTGTGAAACAACACTTTCTGCCTGCGTGCTGGTGACAACCATTCACTGCTCTGCACCCGGCATGGGAACACCTCTTGTTGAAGAAAGAGTTTGAGGCTTTTCTTCTATTTTCCATCTGTCTGTGTCATTGTTATCGCCCTCGACACGACCTTGAGCTTGACCGTGCTGCCTACCTGTCTGTCGACGCCACCACAGAAAAGCAAGGATCCAAGAGAAGCTACCAGACACTGACAGAGCTCTTCACCACGGACAGAACGAAAACAAAGAGAAGAACAAGGAGAAGAGCCAGCACACACACATACCCGACATCGACCGAGACAGAGACAGAGAGAGGAAGAGTAAAATGCCCTTTTTGAAACTCATCCCCGTTGAGCGATCAAGCACCGTGAATGATGGGTCATCATCGGCAAAAGGGGTCCTCGATGGCTACATTACCGCGCCAAACTCCAAGGACAACGGAAGATTCGATGACAAAAACGGGTGCAAGTTCTTGAAGCTGACACCGGATACCGCGACCAATATAAACATGAATAACAACGAGACCAGCAGCAACAAGAACAACAGCAACGACAATAATAACTGCCACACCGATGCGATTGATCAAGGTCATCAAGGTCAGAGTCAGAGTCAGAGTCAGGGTCAGAGCCCGAGTCAGGATAATGATCAGGGGTCAGGCCACGGGCGGTGATCAGGGTCATTTTCAAGACACCTAGATCGACGGGACGAGATGCTCAGCATGGATCGAACAGGGATGGACAGGTTCTCGTTGTATGAGCACTCGCACTTTGGACGCTGGACTCTGGATTTGGTGCATGGTGCTGTTTGTGGACTTGAACTTGTCTTGGGAGAACAACAGGGTCAGGCCAGGCCACGATCCAGTTCCAGTTCCAGTTCCGATTGCGGCTTATCAATCCATCTCGAGATTAGACACAAAAAAGGGGATGGAACACAGGGTTATTTGTTTGTTTGTTGGTAACTCCCGCCCATCCGTCACGCCCTTTTCTGTCCTATCCGGTCCGGTCCAACCCAGCAAATATCACGTCATGCATGCTACGGAACCCCAGAAAGAAAAAAGGACAAAGGTGGCAAGCAAGGGAACAGACATGGTCTTCTAGTCCTAGTCTAATAAACGCTATTAATCCCTCGATCGCTCTTTACCTAGTCACCTAGTCACCTAGATTAGATACCCGTATACTCAGTCGTACGAGGGAGGTATATCTATCCTAACCGACCCTACCCTACCCTACACTACCCACCCCACTCTACCATATAACGAACGACGAGACAGTGAAAACACATTGTCAGTCACTCAGTCAGTACCTAGTAGAATCGCCTCGTCTGATCTCATTTCGACCTGATCTGACCTAACCTGACCATTCATATCATTGATCGCTACCCAAATCTCGTGTTATGATCCGCGCAGCGAGTACATACCTAGGTAAATAGGTAGGTAGGTAGGGTAGGTTACAGACAACCAGCTCGCACGCTCAAGGACCGGTCGACCCGACCCAATCGAATCCAGATAGCGCCAAACCAGATCAAGCCCCAAAACTCACGCGGTGGTGGTAGTGTCGAATATCGTACAAACCTGATCCCATTCCGATTCCGATAATATCCAACCGAGCAGATGTTGATATCTGGGTCATGTCCGTCACCATAGCACTTTGCGTTATCTACACACCTTTGCCAGAGATTTTGAAATCAGCACCGTTGCAAGTAATTGCTGGGCACCAATCCGATCCCCCCTATGTTCATCCCCCTCGCACTCTCCTTCACCTCTGCCTCCCACCATCCGTCGTCCTGAAGCCGCAATACTGCGAGAATGTCGCCTTTGGAGAAGGACAGCTCTTCGGGAATCGCCGCCGTGTAGCTGTACATTGCCCTCGCTGTAAAGACTATCGTTAGCAAGTTGTTTTCCCAAGTGGAAGTCTCTACTCGAAAATCTCTGACGGGTCATTGTTGACTTACCATAATGCAATACTCGCTGCTGACGTTGCTCTGGAGGAGCACCTGCTCGGTACGGGATCGCCGCGAGACTCTTGCTCCTCTCTCGCCTCAGCTCAATATCCATACCCCCTCCATTTGCACCTCCACCCCTTTGCCGGCTATCGTACCCTTGCGATGGAGGTTGGAACTGTTGCTGCTGAGTTTGTTGCTGCGCATACCGATCGCCACCAAAACTAGAGTTGGGCCGCATCATGCCCTGGCGACTTCGTCCACTACCACCAGATCCGTCGTAGCGCCCCGGATCTTGATTGCTCAATTGCATCTCCATGCCAGTACTTTGTCTTGAGCCTTGACCTCGTGATCCTCCATAAGGATTCGGCGAGGCTGCCCGATATTGCTGAGCCCCTGGTCGTCCTCCTGGCATCATTGCCGGGTTCGGGCTTGCCGCTCTAGGGGCCATGGGAGGTGCTGGACTTCTCGACCTCGGCTGATATCTCTGAGCCTGTTGTGGTTGAGGGCTCACAGCACGGGGGATGACGCCGGGAGCCGGGCTTCTGGCACGGGGAGGATGTTGGCTTAGAGGTTGAGGTTGAGGACTTGCCGCTCTCATCATCCCTGGTCCAGGACTCCTCCGCCCATCTCTTGTACCCGGTCTTGATGGCTGGGC